GGTGGGAGGGAAGGATTGGAGGGAGAGGGAGGAGGGAAAGGAGGCAGTAAACACTAGCCTGAAACCGGCTAGAATTCATGGGATGGAATACCAAGAGGAGGAGATCCAGTCTCCGGAGATCCCGGTGCGCAGCCCCGGGGGAGTCGCATGCATGCCACGCGCACGCACACACTCAGCACTGGCATAAAAGGGTGCCTGCGGAGGAGAGAATACTGTACTCATTTGGGCTTACAGGTGGCCAATGAGAACTCAGAAAACGTCGCTCCCTTTCCTCCCTCCCTCTCCCCTTCTTCAGCGAAAGGGTGTATTAGCATGTCCATTTTTTCCCTAGGGCATATAAGAGGACAGGGAGGGCTGGGCAGGCAGGGAGAGCTGACCCACCCAATCCAACCAGGCTTTGTATACAACAACAAGCCAATCACCGGTAAGGTACATCGCTTGCCAGTGATAAGGTATATCGCTTGCCATGATTGGCTGGTTGTTGTATACTGGGTACGTACCGGTACAGTACAGCACCAGTATCTGTACCAGTTCATACAGTAGAGCACCAGTGCATACAGTACTGTATACAAATGTCCAACAGTCAAGATGCGATCATGGCTCCACCAGCAAGAAGAAGGAAATATGAAGCCAGTTTCAAACTTAAAGTTGTAAACTTTGCCATGGAACATAATAACTGCGCTGCTGCAAGACAATATGGAGTAACAGAAAAGATGGTTCGGGACTGGAAAGCAAATGAAAAAGCGTTAAAGAGTATGGCAAGGGGTAAGTGTGCATTAAGAAGAGTCACCCCACATTGGCCAGAACTTGAAAAACATGTAGCAGACATGGTGAATGAGCATCGCCAAAATGGTTATGTAGTGACACGAAATAAAATATGTTTGTCTGCACTTCAGTGGGCCAAATCTAACCCAGATCACAGCAACAGATTTAAGGCCACTGTATCTTGGTGTACTAGATTCTTGAAAAGGCATAATATGGTACTGAGGCAAAAGACAAAAATGGCACACAAATTACCTGCAGATCTTGATAGCAAAGTAATTAGTTTCCATCGATACGTAATACAACAGCGCATTAAACATGGCTATGCGTTAAGTAGTATTGGAAATATGGATGAAACTCCAATGAATTTTGATATGGTTGGAAATAAAACTGTCCATCAAAAAGGTGAAAAAACAATTTTAATTAAAACAACAGGACATGAGAAGTCCAGTTTTACAGTGGTACTAGGATGCACAGCTGATGGTGCCAAACTGAGACCAATGATTATTTTTAAAAGAAAAACAATGCCGAAACTCAAGTTCCCTGTTGGTTGTTTTGTACATGTGAATGAAAAAGGCTGGATGGATGAAGAAGGGGTAAAGCTATGGCTTGATAATGTATGGAGCAGGCGACCAGGTGGACTTCTTCAAAAACGTAGTCTACTGGTGTGGGATATGTTCAGGGCTCATTTAACTCCCAGCACCAAGCAAAGGCTTGCAAGAATAAACACAGATGCGGCAGTTATTCCTGCAGGATTGACATCGTTGGTACAGCCACTGGATGTGTGCCTAAACAAGCCATTTAAAGATCGCATTCGAGAACAGTGGAATGAATGGATGGTTAGCGGCGAAAAGTCATTCACAAAAGGAGGAAACATGCGTGCTCCACAGTTGGATGTTTTGTGCAAGTTTGTCATAAAAGCCTGGAATGATATTGATGCAGAAACAGTAATCAAGTCTTTCAAGAAGTGTGGCATATCAAATTCATTAGATGGTATGGAGGATGACTACTTGTGGCAAGATGAAGAGGAAGCTGAAGCTGAGACCACACCATCTGATACGGAATTCGATCCATATGATGACTGCCTTACAAATGTACCACAAGATGTCATTGATATTTTTATGATATCAGATGATGAACAGGATGATTTTGAAGGCTTTTAAAGGGAAACTGTCACACAAGCAAAACCTGTAAAAATAGCTTGCAGTTATGATGGGCGTTGCTGACTTGCCAGGGACTTGCCCGGCACTTGCTCTTTCTATTGTTTTTTATCTTCCTCCTATCATCATCAGTTCAGTTTGGTTGACAGCTTAGAAAACAAACAGCATGGCAGCTCCCATGGTTTTATTGTCTTATCCTTCCTTTCAGCTTTAGAGTGAATTAGGAAAAGTTTAATCCACTTGCACTGTTTTATGTTTATATGTTTGATGACAGCCTTATGTTTATAAATGACAGTTTTTCTGCTAAGTACCTGCATGTCATAAGCATTTGAATTAAAATTACCATATTGAAATCAAATCTGATGTTTTTAAATTTTTATTTGGTGTGCGTTGGAAGAGGGGTAGTCTTATACGGTGAGTATAGCCCAAACTCTATATTTTAACTGGAAAAGTTGGGGGTCGTCTTATACGCCCAGTCGTCTTATACGCCGGAAAATACGGTATTAGTGTTTTATGAATCCTAGGAGAGAGAAATGTCCACATTACTCCATAACTCTGTAGTCAGTGGCATTTGGTAAGAGGGAAGCTTATTTGTGAAGCCACAATTGTGTGTCTCTTTCTGTGAATTTAACAGCTGTGATCAGAGAGTCATAAAGCTTTAGAGTTGGAGGAGAACTTGGGGATCACCTAGTTCAATCTCCTTAATATAGGATATACATGGTGTCCACTCTTTTAGTTCTCTTAGGTGATCTCTATAGGGTCAACTGTTTCTGCTGCCAACATCAAACTATTTTTCGATTTAAAAATTCTCCGAGACTTCTTGGAACAACTCACCATGGCTTTTATCCTAGTGGTATTTCCCAAACTGTTCAACGGAGATGTGTTTTAGCTATGGGGTACCTAGTTGGGTTTTAGTAGCCACACACTTTATTCGTTTCTTCTTTTCTTTCTGACTTAGATGTATTCTACCCAGTCTGTTGTTTGATTGGGTCATCAATATGCAAAAACAATCACTCTGACTGGTGGACGATTTTCTAAGGACAGCAACCAGAGCTTCTTTCAGGTGCACCATTTGGCTCTATACCATTCTTCAGTCCCCACCCTTTGTGGTTTGAACCAGGAGGGGATACCTTTCATTGAGTGACAGTTGTAATATCCTATCATCACACTACTATTTTATTTATTTATTTATTTTATTTATGAGACTTATATACCGCTTTAAGTGCGAGCACTCTCTAAGCGGTGTACACCAGTAAGCAATGTATATATATATTTACATTGCCCCCAACAATCTGGGTCCTCATTTGACCTACCCCGGAAGGATGGAAGGCTGAGTCAACCTTGAGCCGGTGAGATTTGAACCGCTGACCTGCTGAACACAGTCAGCTAAAGTGGCCTGCAGTACTGCACTCTAACTGCTGCGCCACCTCGGCTCTTACTAGACCAAGATCTGCACTTGCAGGAGTCTTAAGGGATGATAATTGCCCAATTTTACATTACCTTCCTCCTTAGCCAGGAGGAGTTCTTATCAACAAGGGTATGTCACTGGTCTACCTAGGAGGATTGGGGATGGGACACCCTGCTCTGCACTGCTCTTTCACTGGGGGCAGGGGATATGAGAAGGCAGACCCATGGGCTGCAGGGTTAAGTCCCCTCCTAATCCTAAGCCTTTTTACAGTTCATGAAATATAAACTTAGTGCAGAGTGCTTGGAGACTAAACACATGAAGAACGGTTGCAGGATTTGGGTATGGCCAGTGTAGAGAAAAGAAAGACTAGGGGTAACACATGATAGCAGTGTTCCAATATTTGTGGTGCTGCAAAAAAAAGAAGAGGGGGTCAACTTATTTTCCAAAGCACCTGAAGACAGGACAAGAAGCAATAGATGGAAAGTAATCAAGGAGAGAAGCAACCTAGAATTAAGGAGAAACTTCCTAACAGTGAACACAACCAATGGAACGGATTTCCTTCAGATGTTGTGGGTGCTCCATCACTGGAGGTTTTTAAGAATAGACTGGACAGCCACTTGTCTGAAATGATATAGGGTCTGCTTGAGCAGAGGGGTTGGACTTCCAAGGTTTCTTCCACCTCTCTTCTGTATTATAATTACATAAATCATACAACATTTTCTTTCTTCCTCTTTGCCACCAAATGAAATATTTTGTAATGATTCTATTAATTAACACCCGTCAATCTATCCTCATAATAATCTAGCAGGATGAATAACAGCAGGGACAGGAGAAGATCCCTTAATATTCAATCCACATGGTATTATTATTTATTAATGAAGTATGTGCTGTCTGAGCTTGGTTGTTTTCTTGCAGATGTTTCATTACACAAATTAAGTAATATTATCATTGCTAGTCAGGAATGGGGTTTCATCTCAATTTATACTTTAGGTGCTTGTTCTGTCAGTGTTGTGGAAATAGGTTTTGGTGGTTCTTGGTCTGTTTACAAAGATCAGCAAGGAAAGACAATGAAGTTTACTCTGGCCCGTGATGCAAACAGAAGAGGACTACATGAATGGCCACATCAGGAATGGATATGCTCAAGACAAAAGATTCAAATAGCATTCACTTGTCTCAAATGCATCATAAAAAACAAGCAAGGGAAATTTATATATTAATAAATTATTTTCTTGAGGAAGTTAATAGAGAGTAAACAATGTAGTTCATTTCTAGAATTTTTAAAAATACCCTAATAGTGTATTCAATGAAAAAAATAATAGGGAACTCAGCAAAACAATCTATGGAAGCAAACATAATTAAAAACACTGCAAGTGAACCCAACCCAAAATATTTTTAAGACTATTTTGATTAAAATCAGTAAATTGAAAAAAACAGCGTGTTGAAGTTTATTTCTAGGTGGGTCATGGGGCCTCACTGTGAACAAATAACATTAATGAAAAATGAAAGGATGGGTGATTATTGCTGATTAGCAGATATTTTGTGATTAGTTATATCATTTGATTTCCAAATATTAAAAGAAAAAGAATCCTACTCATTTCTTTACTTTTAAGAAATCAGATCAACTAAACAGATTCCAAACTTACAACAAAAATTTCCAGTTACTGCATGAGTCAGAAGTTCTTGTGCCTCATTATATTCTCTCTACAATTCAGATGTGGCCTCAATAGGATAATGTAGCATTTTGGAAAAAAGATACAAGCCAAGAGACCAGCCCCGGAGGCCAAGATGGAGAAGATCTCCACGGCCACCATGGACTTCCCTTTGGTGCTCAGGTAAGTGGGGAGGAAGGTGATCCAAACACTGCAAAAGACCAGCATGCTAAAAGTAATGAATTTGGCTTCGTTAAAACTATCAGGCAATTTCCTAGCCAGAAAGGCCACCGTGAAACTGACAAGGGCTAGGAAACCAAGGTAGGTGAGGACAGCATAAAACATTAAAGCTGAGCCTTCCTTACATTCCAAGATTATCTCTCCAAACAAGGAGTGGAAGTCCATGTTAGGAAATGGGGGAGAGGTCACCAGCCAGGTGACACAAAGAACTGCTTGGACCAGGGGACAGGTGATAACAATGAAGTTGGTCAATGGTTTTCCCAAGAGTTTCCTTGTCCTGTTCCCAGGCTTGGTGGCCATGAAGGCCAGAACCACTGTGACAGTTTTTGCTAACACAGAGGAAACTGCAAGGGAAAAGAGAATGGCAAAGGCAGTTTGTTGGAAGAGACAGGTGAGGTTCCTGGGTTGACCAATGAAGAGGAAGGAGCAGAAGAAGCAGAGCAGGAGAGAAACCAGGAGGATGTAGGTGAGATCTTGGTTGTTGGCCTTGACAATCGGTGTGTCATGATGCTTAAGAAAAATTACCAGGACTACAGATGTGATCACACAGAGAAAAAGAGTAAGAAAAATTAAAGCATATCCCAGGGTGTCTTGATAGGAAAGGAAGTGGATCTTCTTGGCAATGCAGTGGTCCTTGTCCTTGTTGGGATATTGGTCTTCTGGGCAGGGGTCACAGCGAGCTGCATCTGAAATCAAGAGTCTTTGTCTTAGGACTTTGGGACATCCACAGTGAGCTTTATCCCCTCCCACACCTCAGATCCCAGTTTGACTATTTCTGGTTAGTACAATTCAAAAAATGACATGGTGAAAAGAACTCCTGGGCAACATAGTACCCTATAAAGTGAAAATCACCTAGATTCAAAATAAGCCTCATTTGCCCAGAGATGGGGTCTCTCTCTTTTCCATTCATTGAGCACTTGCACGATTATTTCATTTTCCTTTCACAGGGAGAATTTGGTACCTGATGATTTTCCCCACATCATACTGGAAACCCAAGTAGACGGATAAATCTGTCAGTTAGGGATCCTACTTTTTGCTGTTTATATAGATTTTCGCTTGGTGTGTCATAAAATCATAACCTGACACACACACACATGCATAAACAAGAAGGCTCACACACCTAGTGTGGAATGGGTGGACTGTAAGGAGAGAGAAAGAATTTCCCCTATTTCAAATCAGTTTCTTCCATCATGCATTCAGAGTATTTTTGCAGGAAGGGACAATAGAATAGAATAGAATAGAATAGAATAGAATAGAATAGAATAGAATAGAATAGAATATAGAATAGAATAGAATAGAATATAGAATAGAATAGAATAGAATAGAATATGTGGAATGGAATGGAATGGAATAGAATAGAATAGAATAGAAAATATGGAATAGAATGGAATAGAATAGAAATAGGAATAGAGTGGAATAGGGATAGAGTGGAATAGAGTGGAATAGAATAGAATAGAATAGAATAGAATAGAATAGAATAGAATAGAATAGAATAGAATAAAAATAGGAATAGAGTAGAATAGTAATAGAGTGGAATGGAATGGAATGGAATGGAATGGAATGGAATAGAATAGAATAGAATAGAATAGAATAGAATAGAATAGAATAGAATAGAATAGAATATGTGGAATGGAATAGAATAGAATAGAATAGAATTAGAATAGAATAGAATAGAATAGAATAGAATAGAATAGAATAGAATAGAATAGAAAATATGGAATGGAATGGAATGGAATGGAATGGAATGGAATGGAATGGAATAGAATAGAATAGAATAGAATAGAATAGAACAGAATAGACTAGAACAGAATAGAAAATATGGAATGGAATGGAATGGAATGGAATGGAATGGAATGGAATAGAATAGAATAGAATAGAATAGAATAGAATAGAATAGAATAGAATAAAATAGAATAGAAAATATGGAATGGAATGGAATAGAATAGAATAGAATAGAATAGAATAGAATAGAATAGAATAGAATAGAACAGAATAGAAAATATGGAATGGAATGGAATGGAATGGAATGGAATAGAATAGAATAGAATAGAATAGAATAGAATAGAATAGAATAGAATAGAAAATATGGAATAGAATAGAATGGAATGGAATGGAATAGAATAGAATAGAATAGAATAGAATAGAATAGAATAGAATAGAATAGAATAGAATAGAATAGAACAGAATAGAATAGAATAGCAGAGTTGGAAGGAACCTTAAAGGTCTTACAGTCCAACCCTATAAAACAATGTTAAGACTCTAGAAAGAGTGCAGAAAGATCAACAAAGATGATTAGGGGACTGGAGGCTAAAACATAGAAAGAATGCTTATAGGAACTGGGCAGGAAACCCTATACCATTTCAGCAGACGAATGATTGTCCAATCTCTTCTTTAAAAGCCTCCAGTGACGGAGCACCCACAACTTCTGAAGGGAAGCCGTTCCACTGGTTAATTGTTTTAGGAAATTTCTCCTTAGTTCTAGATTGTTTCTTTCGTTGATTAATTTCCATCTGTTGCTTCTTGTCCTGCCCTAAGGTGCTTTGGAGAACAGCTTGACTCCCTCTTCTTTGTGGCAGCCCGAGATATAGGAACATTGCTATCATGTCCCCCCTTGTCCTTCTCTTCATTAAACTAGACATACCCAATTCTAGCAACCGTTCCTTATATGTTTTAGCCTCCAGTCCCCTAATCATCTTTGTTTCTCTTCTCTGTACTCTTTCTAGAGTCTCAACATCTTTTTTACATTGTGGTGACCAAAACTGGATGCAGTATTCCAAGTGTGGCCTTACTAAGGCATTGTAGAGTGGTATTAATATGTCACGTGATCTTGATTCTATCCCTCTGTTAATGCAGCCTAGCACTGTGTTGGCCTTTTTGGCAGCTGCAGCACACGGCTGGGTCATATTTAGGTGATTGTCTACTAGGACTCCGAGGTCCCTCTCACAGTTACTACTATTGAGCATGGTGCCACCATCATTAAACTAGACGTACCCAATATAGGTAAATTGATCTATTTCTCTGACATGCCTGTAAGTTTTCAGGGAGATTGATAGTCCGGGTAGAAGAGGCACACTAAAAGTAATACAAATGAACAGGCACACTGCTCTATTAATTCATAAAAAAGATCAGTGATTGATTTTCCCATTGGTATATGACAGGAGGAATAGAAAGGACAGCAAGAAATCTCTAAATTGCTGCATTAAGTCTACCCTATATAAAATTGGGTCAGGAAAGCAATCCTGCTACTCAGTTGGCAGGACAATTTGTATCTGTATCTTCAATCATGTCAAACCTACCAAAATAACCCAAGATAATCATAATATTTTGAGCTACCAAATGTCTTACTTGATCCTGGAAGATCTATATTTAAGGTGCGCTCTACCTGTCTTATTTGAAATGGTCCCTTCTGGACAAGGTTCACACTGGTAGCAGCAAACTTGTTTGCCCTCTGGAACTCTTCTCCTCTCTCCAGCCTGGCACCTCTTCATGCCACACCTGGCAAAGGGCACCTTCTAAGAGAGAAAAGATAAAGACTTGAGATGGTCTAACCAATGAACACAATTCATTGATTAATTTCCCCATTCCTGTTTCCACCTTCCAAATATATTCAAAATAAATGGTTCACCATGATTTACCAGAAATCAGGAACAGGTCCTGAGGCATTCAGGCCAGTGTCATTCCTAACTTACCAATGGATGCTGGAAATTGGAACTGAGACCTCAGTATGCAAATGAAGGTGTTTCACATTGAGCTACAATGTGATTCTTTTAGAGCAGGGGTATCAAACTGCTGGCCCACGGGCTGGTTTCATCATAACGAAGCTGTGCCTACCCCATTGCCGGCAATGCAAAAAGAGTTGCTCTTATGGTTCCGGCTAATGAAACATTCCAAAGAACTTCCAGGCATTATTTTCCTAAAAGTCTTTTATTGAATCAAAATGTCAGCACAGGCACAACGAAGGGATGCTAGGATCTAAGTTCTCTTCCTCTGAGCAGTTAAATTATCAGCATATTCCCTCCCTAAATTAGCCGTTATATCTCACATTATCCAATTAGTGTGAAGGTCAAATGTTTTCTTCCTCTTTCTTTCCCGGGCTTTACCCCCAACCCCCCTTCTGCTCTGTATTAACCCCATAATTACCAGAGAATTCTGCATATTGTCAAAAGCAAGAATATACAATATTTGCAGTGTTGACATCCGCAATGCATTGCGACATGACATGTGACGTGATGTGTTTGTCACCCATGTTTTAGAGAAATTTTGAGGCCACTTGGAGGTTTTTCTCTGTCCTAAGGGTCACCTGAGTAGTGCAAATGAAGGTGTGGAGACTTCTTGGAATTGCTGACATCATTATCTACCTCCAGTCTACAACACAGTCCTTTTAGCAGTCCCAAGAAGGCTCCACATCCATCTGCACCACTCAGTGACCCAGACAAACCTCCAGGTGGCCTCAATGACTCTCTAAAAGAATGCAAATGACCAGCTGTCTGCAAGGAGTATAAATCCTTCCACTCCCCACCATCCAGTCAGAGCTGAAGAAGCTTCTTGGATGAGAAGAAAAAAAGTCTAGTTGCCTCATAAAAAAGCACCTTTGGGATTTTGCAGGGACAGTTACCGAAACACCTTCTGCAAATGTAACTGGACAATTGAGAGATAAGAGGGGGAGAGGAACAAAAATGGAAAAGTTAACTGGGAAACTTTCATGCACAAAGTCTCAGTTCTGGCTTTGCTTCCCTGTAACCACGTGGCTTCTTAGAAAAAAAAATATTTTCACTTCACCTGGAATCGAGAGTATTTCTTTCCTAAAATACCAAGGTAGGGCAGATCTGACACATAGCTTTTTCTAAAAGAAAGAACCATAATGATCCATTGAAGAGGAATGATTCACAGAGTTCACTGTTTCTTCCTCTATCAATCTGGATTTTCAATCAGGATTTTCCCCCCAATCATTCGAGGTGATCAGCTGCCTTGGAAAGCCCAGGGAAATCATCAAAACAATTAAAAAACGAAAGCTAGAATATTTCAGACATGTGATGCGACACCCAGAAAAATACGGCATACTCCATTTAATCCTTCAGGGAAAGATTGAAGGCAAACGAGGTCCAGGCAGAAGAAGAACATCGTGGCTTCAAAATCAAAGGGACTGGTTGGGACAAAACTCAGCAGCCCTTTTTCGTGCGGCTGCTGATAAAAACAGGATCACCAACATGATCGCCAACGTCCGACAACAGATAGGGCACAAGAAGAAGAGGATATATATTTCCAGTGGGGCTGATATTCTGCATCCCCAGGAGAGAAAGAGTTTTTCCCTGAATTGGGGGTATTTCCCTCCAACCCACCTTTGTGGCCCAGATGATTGAACTGGCGTTGATAGTGAAATCCTGGCCTAGGGAAGCTCTGGGATCTATTCGGCCAACTTTCACTGGGACAAAAGACAAATTGGGGAGCAGACGCCAGTTGAGAATCTCATAACGAGCAGATCCCAGTCCATTTTCTGAGAAGGATATTTCATCTCCAGCACTGTTGTTGAAATGGACTTTCCTCAAATAGGGAAGGAGCTGAAAGAAAGGAGAACTTCAGAAATTCAATTAATTGGGACTCCCGATAGAATGGAGCTTTCATAATTTATTTATTTATGAGACTTATATACCGCTTTAAGTGCAAGCACTCTCTAAGCGGTGTACACCAGTAAGCAATGTGTATATATATATATATATATATATATATATATATATATATATATATATATATATAGGTCTTTGGTTGTTCGGGTTTTCTCCCGGTAAAATTGGAAGTGCTGGCAACGTTTCGACGAAGTCACTGGCAGTTAAAAGAAGAAACAGCTAAAACCAACAATTGCTGCTTCAAAGCAGAAGCTAAAAAACACCAGCTGAAGATGACGAATGTGACTTCGTCGAAACGTTGCCAAGACACTTCCAATTTACGCGGGAGAAAACCCGAACAACCAAAGACCTATATACAAATACCCGCGAAAACCTCAGATATATATATATATATATATATATATTATATATATATATATATATATATTTACATTGCCCCCAACAATCTGGGTCCTCATTTTACCTACGCCGGAAGGATGGAAGGCGGAGTCAACCTTGAGCCGGTGAGATTTGAACCGCTGACCTGCTGAACACAGTCAGCTAAAGTGGCCTGCAGTACTGCACTCTAACTGCTGCGCCACCTCGGCTCCTCATAAATTCCCTGAGAGGCTGGATTGACCACAGTGTGTTACTAAGTTTGAACGGACTTTCCTGGGTTTAGGAAAGTTTTCAAAATTAAACTGGATGGAAGGCTTTATACCAGTGGTTCTCAACCTTTTTATACGGCGACCCCGGTCATAAGGACGTGCCACGCATGTGCGATGTGGTGCGCATGCGTGGCAGCGCCCCCATGCGCAGCGGCACCCCATGTGCGGTGGCGCCCCCATGCGCGGTGTGCATGCGCGACGGCGCCCCCATGCGTGGCGCGCATACGCAACGGCGCCCCATGCATGGCTTGCATGTGCAGTGCCGCCAGCTGAGGAAAAAAATGGCGGATCGCATTGTTTGGCGACCCCCGTAAAATGGTCGTTCGACCCCAAATGCGGTCGCAACCCACAGGTTGAGAACCGCTGCTTTATACTCTTTGAAGACAGCTAATAATTTGCATTTTTTTAACTCCATTCCCCACCATCCAGTCAGAAGTGAAGAAGCTTCTTGGATAATAATAATAACAACAACAACAACAATAAAGTTGGAAGGGACCTTGGAGATCATCTAGTCCAACCCCCTGCTCAGGCAGGAAACCCTACACCATTTCGGACAAATGGCTGTCCAGTCTCTTCTTAAAAACTTCCAGTGTTGGAGCATTTACTGCTTCTGGAGGCAAGCTGTTCCACTGATTAATTGTTCTCACTGTCAGGAAGTTTCTCCTTAGTTCTAGGTTGCTTCTCTCCTTGATTAGTTTCCACCCGTTGCTTCTTGTCCTGCCTTCAGGTGCTTTGGAAAATAGCTTAATTCCCTCTTCTTTATGGCAGCCCCTGAGATATTGGAATACTGCTATCATGTCCCCCCTTGTCCTTCTCTTCGTTAAACTAGACATACTCAATTCTAGCAACCGTTCCTTATATGTTTTAGCCTCCAGTCCCCTAATCATCTTTGTTGCTCTTCTCTGTACTCTTTCTAGAGTCTCAACATCTTTTTTACATCGTGGTGACCAAAACTGGATATGTTTTATTTCGCTGTTTTATTTCACTTCACTTTCCCCCCTCTACTGCTTTTCAACAAAACATTAAAACACGTTCCTTTTTCTTTCTTGCTTTTTACATCTGTCCCGAGAGCCATTTATATGTTATTATAGAGATTTTAAGCAATAGTTCAAAAATACACATGCAAAGTTTCCTCTCTAAGCATTTGTGGACTGGATAAAAAGTCCCAGAGATTACCTGCCATGAATGGATTCTGGAGATACTCTTTCCAAGCCTCATCATGACTGTTCGTGTTCCTGATCCGTGCATTGCATGTAACGCATGTGCCAGAGCAAAAATGGCATTGTAAATATTGTAACTTTCACCCGTCATGGCTGTTTCGAAGACGTAAGAGGCTACATTTTGCAATTTTTCCTTTCCTGTGCATGTCTTTTTCCCCTTTTGAGGTTTCTGGACTGCACAATCAAATACCTTTCCCCACCACAGTGGCAGAAAAATATCCCCTTGTGGGTTCAAAGGATCTAACATCAGAAGGAAATGGGCGAATTCCGAGAAATCACTGTTGTGATCCCTAATATGCAAAGCTCCATGGAGGGGCTTTACAATTTTCAGTGTCTCTTCATAGTCCATCTCGCTAAGTTTCCAAAGGGAAGTTAAGATCCAAACATTTTGAAATGTTATCTTTTGAAATTCTTGATAAAAACTCAAAGCCACTGGAACGTTTTCAATACTATTGGAATCTCCAAACAGAATAACCACTTCCACTTTAAACCAACTTTTGAAAATACGGATGAAATTGTTGGCCACACTAATCATTTCCTCAGATTTGAGCATTTCAATGAAGGCCAGGCAGATCTCCTTCTCCTTGAGCATTGGCACCAGAGATGAGATGAAATGTTCCCCATACTCACTTTCAGAAACCATAAGTCCAACCCAGTTCCACTGGAAATGCAGGAGCAGCTGGACTAAACCCACATATTGATGGAATTCCTTGGGATTAATCCAGAAGAAGGATGGATAAACTCTTCTGTCTCCCTGAGTGAACTCAAAGCCAACACCGAGCTGGAGAAAGTGAGATTCTTCTTTCAAAGACAAAGTAAAATTTTATGGTGACTTTAGGGATCACCATTCTGTGGTTTATTGCCCCACCAGTCAGGCTGACTCACTTTGAATGTCAAGCTTAAGCTTCTTCCCTTCTTAGCAAGAGTCACCAGTTACATACCGTATTTCCTGGCGTATAAGATGACTTTCTAAAGCATGCAAATTGGCTGTGAAGTCGGGGGTCATCTTATACGCCGAGTCGTCTTATACACCGGAAATTACAGTAGTTTCCAGGGTATAAGATGACTTTCTAGGCATGCAAATTGGCTGCGAAGTTGGGGGTCGTCTTATATGCCGAGTGGTCCTATATGCCGGAAAATACTGTATTTTGCCTGGTTGTGATAGATCAGAAGTCAGGGGAACAAACCATCAACTCATAAAGAGAGTTTTAAAAAAACTGCATTGAAAGGGTAGCTACATTTTTGTAAAGAATGTTAGGAAGGAATTCTTTGGGGCAAGTACAGAATTTCAGAATTATCTAGTTTTGGGAGGATTATATAAAACATATAAGGACAAGTTGCGAGAATTGGGTATGTCTAGTTTAACAAAGAGAAGGACGAGGGGGGACAGGATAGCAGTATTCCAATATCTCAGGGGCTGCCCCAAAGAAGAGGGAGTCAAGCTATTCTCCAAAGCTCCTGAAGGCAGGACAAGAAGCAACGGGTGGAAACTAACCAAAGAGAGAAGCAACCTAGAACTAAGGAGAAACTTCCTGACAGGGAGAACAATTAATCAGTGGAACAGCCTGCCTCCAGAAGCAGTAAATGCTCCAACACTGGAAGTTTTTAAGAAGAGAATGGACAGCCATTTGTCCGAAATGGTGTAGGGTTAGATGGCCTAGATGACCTCCAAGGTCTCTTCCAACTTTACTACTATTACTATTACTAAGTCATATCTTGAGACATTAAATATAAAAAAACCAGTTCAATAGATTCTCTAAGTCTCAAATGTGCCCTCTCTTTGCTTTCATCTTGGGCTTCTGTGTGTGTACTTTGGTTGTTTGTCTACTCTAGTGGTTCTCAACCTTTTTAATGCCGCGACCCCCAAACGGTCATAAGTCGAGGACTACTCAACCGGTCGTAAGTCGAGGACTACTCAACTGGTGCAGCATCGTTTGCAGAATGGGACTTTTGGCGGGCTCAGCAGGGCAGAGACAGCCTGGACGATTCCTATTGGCTTTTGAAAGCCAATAGAATTAGACTCTATTCAAGAGAGTCTATTCTATTGGCTTTCAAAAGCCAATAGAATAAAAGGGAGTAGCACAGCTAAGGAAAAGGGGGGAAAAATGGCGGACTGCATTGTTTGGCAACCCCCGTGAAATGTTCATTCGACCCCAAATGGGATCCCGACCCACAGGTTGAGAACCACTGGTCTACTCCATGCTGCATCCAGTGCAGTTCCCCTTACCTGTGGGACTTTGAAGATGCTGAAGATGGAGGCCATCAGCCTTGAGGATTTGGGGTTGAGACCTCCGATGACAGAGAGCAGACGGTCCTGCCTGTCACATTTATAACCTGGAACCGTATGGCCTCTTGTGGAGAGCAGAGAAAGGCTGAATAAGGAAACTCTCATCTCAACCTGGCAATTGTCATAGATGTGAAAGCCAAATGTGATGTTGGGGAGGAGAACTAAATCCTTGTTGGCCTCCGTAACTGCAAATACCAAGGTCTTGAAGTGCTGGTAATTCTTGGGTATTAATCTATAGTGAGAAAAAACATCGGGGAACATGACAGGAAAGCTCATGATTTCTGGCAGAATTTGGCTGTTCGTTTTTTGCATTTTAATAATAATAATAGTAGTAAAGTTGGAAGGGATCTTGGAGGTCATCTAGTCCAACCCCCTGCTCAGGCAGGAAACCCTACACCATTTCGGACAAATGGCTGTCCAGTCTTTTCTTAAAAACTTCCAGTATTGGAGCATTTACTGCTTCTGGAGGCAGGCTGTTCCATTGATTAATTGTTTTCACTGTCAGGAAGTTTCTCCTTAGTTCTAGGTTGCTTCTCTCCTTGATGAGTTTCCACCCATTGCTTCTTGTCCTGCCTTCAGGTGCTTTGGAGAATAGCTTGACTCCCTCTTCTTTATGGCAGCCCTTGAGATATTGGAACACTGTTATCATGTCCCCCCTTGTCCTTCTCTTCGTTAAACTAGACATACCCAATTCCAGCAACCGTTCCTTATATGTTTTAGCCTCCAGTCCCCTAATCATCTTTGCTGCTCTTCTCTGCACTCTTTCTAGACTCTCAACATCTTTTTTACATCATGGTGACCAAAACTGGATGCACTATTCCAAGTGTGGCCTTACCAAGGCCACACTTTGAAGCAGCAAACCCCAAGTATGAGTTTTCTCATTTTTTTTTTTAAAAAATGTTCCTTCGTTAAATTCGAAAGATTTGGTGAGAAAGGAGAAAAGCATACAATGCATTCAGAAAGTATTCAGACCCCCTTCGCTTTTGTCAATTTTGTTACGCTGTAGCCTGATTCTACAGTTGTTGAAATTCATTTTTTTCCCCTCATTAATCTACACGCAGGACCCCATAATGAAAAGGGGAAACAACCTGACTGAGCTTGAAAAGATCTGCAAGGAAGAATGGCAGAGAATTCCCCCAATCCAGGTGTGCAAAGTTTATTGCATCATACCCCAAAAGACTTGAGGCTGTAATTGCTGCCAAAAGTGCTTATAGGGTACTGAGTGTAGATTAATGAGAAAAAAAAATGAATTTCAACAACTGCAGAATCAGGCTGCAGCACTTTGCATCTTAAGAAGAACTCTTGGAATATTTCTTCCAACAGGCATCCTTTATTAAGAGAAAATGGTTGCAGGCGTTCTAGACAGGACCTGGGGGCCAAACCCTACGGTTCAAGGTTTTAAGGGATCCCCAGCAGCCCCACCCCACCCCACCATCTTTCCAGTGCCAATCCTAGGCGTTACATTTCCACCCCCTTTTTCCTCACTGCCGGTGGAAGGGAGACTTCAGAGGGGAGTAGATGAAAGCTAATGGCCTCATTGTTATGTTTAGTCCTTTTGGTGGTATCCACATTCAGTCCCTTTGAAGTTGTACCGAAGGAATTGAGGGCCATAAAGCCCCTTTGTTCACTCCCCTTCCCTTCATTGTATGACAGAATACAGAGATGGCAGAAATGGGGTTTTCCATAGTCGATAACTAGAGATGAAATATAATTGGATTCTGACAAGTGAAGGGGGTCTCAATATTTACTGAATGTACTGTATATTCTTCTATTGTTCCTCCCTTGTTCACTTTCCTCCAGTGGCTGTAATCTTTCCCTATTACTCCACTAGCAGCCAAATCAGTGATTAATATTTATATAATATTTATATGTTACTTATATGTAAGGGTGTAGGTCTATACATATCTTGTATATAGTATGTTTTAGGTGTGTGTTATGTATGTGTACACTTGAGACCAAGCAACTAAATTTCATTTTTAATGTGTGCCATTGTGCCCACAGAAAAAAAATGACAATAAAGGTTATCTAATCTAATCTAATCTAATCTAATTTAACCTAACCTAACCTAACCTAACCTAACCTAACCTAACCTAACCTAACCTAACCTAACCTTACCTAACCTAATCTAATCTAATCTAATCTAATCTAATCTAATCAATTTGGTTGAGCAGATATTTCAGGACTGAAGCATAGAGTAAGACTCCATGGGGGTTATAGCATTGATTTACCTCAGGCTATTATTCATGAGCCCTATTATTCACGAGTCCTGTTGATTTCAAGGCTAAGTTTTATTTTTATATTTTTACACTAGCTCTCACTGGAAAGAACAAAAGGTTTCTTTGAATTTTCTACCATGACTTTCTCTCCAAATTAACATTACATCTCAAAATCTTCACTAAGCCAGCACAGTTTCTTATGTGTTGTTCCTCCTCACTTTATATAAACATTTATCATTTTTCTAATCAAGAGTTCTGAAAGATTAGTGGAAACTAATCAAGGAGAGAAGCAAACTGGAATTAAGGAGAAAGTTCCTAACAGTGAGGACAATTAACCAGTGGAATTCTTTGCCTCCAGAAGTTGTGAATGCTCCAACACTGGAAGTTTTTAAGAAGAGATTGGACAGTCACTTGTCTGCAATGGTAAGGAGTCTCCTGCTTGAGGAGGGGGTCAGACTAGAATACCTCCAAGGTCCCTTCCAGCTTTTTTTCTGATTGATTGATTAAACTCCATTCATGAACAATGCAGAGTAGAAAACTGAAATTTTACCCCACACTCTAAAAGGGCTGAATTTTGAGTTTTCCAATTTGACTTTCAATCCAAATTAACATTACAAATCAAGTTCTACTCTGGGCAGAGTTTCTAGTGTATTGTCTCTCCTTAAATTTTGTTGCTTATCATCTTCTTGATGAAGAGTTTTGCAAAGAGTTCCAGCCAATCTACGAGCCTGGCTTTTTATTAAGAAAAGCACAAAGATTTGAATTACACTTGGACATTGCAAATATCACTAGAACAATCATTTAAGAAAAAAGTGTCCCTAAATCTAAAGCAAAGCAAACAACAATGGTTGGAAACTGACCAACGAGAGAAGCAACCTGGAATTAAGGAGAAAGTTCCTAACAGTGAGGACAATTAACCAGGGGAACTCTTTGCCTCCAGAAGTTGTGAATGCTCCAACACGGGAAGTTTTTAAGAAGAGACCAGACAGCCATTTATCCGAAATGTTATATCGTTTCTTGCCTGAGCAGGGGGTTGGACTAGATGACCTCCAAGGTGCCTTCCAGCCTATTCTATTCTATTCTATTCTATTCTATTCTATTCTATTCTATTCTATTCTATTCTATTCTCCTCCAGGTGAAACTTACGAAGTATAAACAGGAAGTTTCTGTGGGTGTGTTTGAAAGTCTGGTTTCTTCAAAGGAAGAAAGTTTTGCAGATGCAAATTCCCACCAATAATGAGATCGCCAGGCTTGTAATAGTATCTGGGAAGGTTGAAATGTTTTTTTGAGACACATTTACGTTGTGTCTTCTTCTCAGAAGCTGGAGGTAGGAGCCAGCAGAGCAGCAGCAGGAGAGGTAGCCCAGTCATTCTTCTCATCTTCTCTGCTAGATCAGAAATCAAGTAACTAACAAAATGAAATTCAATGGTGAAAAAAGCAAGGTTCTACATTTAGGCAAGAAAAACCAAATGCACAGGTACAGCATAGGTGGCACCATGCTCAATAGTAGTAACTGTGAGAGGGACCTCGGAGTCCTAGTAGACAATCACCTAAATATGAGCCAGCCGTGTGCTGCAGCTGCCAAAAAGGCCAACACAGTGCTAGGCTGCATTAACAGAGGATAGAATCAAGATCACGTGAAGTATTAATACCACTCTACAATGCCTTGGTAAGGCCACACTTGGAATACTGCATCCAGTTTTGGTCACCACGACGTAAAAAAGATGTTGAGACTCTAGAAAGAGTACAGAGAAGAGCAACAAAGATGATTAGGGGACTGGAGGCTAAAACATATAAGGAACGGTTGCTAGAATTGGGTATGTCTAGTTTAACAAAGAGAAGGATGAGGGGGGACATGATAGCAGTGTTCCAATATCTCAGGGGCTGCCATAAAGAAGAGGGAATCAAGCTATTTTCCAAAGCGCCTGAAGGCAGGACAGGAAGCAACGGGTAAAACTAATCAAGGAGAGAAGCAACCTGGAACTAAGGAGAAACTTCCTGACAGTGAGAACAATTAATCAGTGGAACAGCCTGCCTCCAGAAGCAGTAAATGCTCCAACACTGGAAGGTTTTAAGAAGAGACTGGATAGCCATTTGTCCGAAATGGTGTAGGATTTCCTGCCTGAGCAGGGGGTTGGACTAGATGACCTCCAAGGTCCCTTCCAACTTTATTATTATTATCGATCATCGCACAGTCAGCCAGATGTTCAGACTGGATTTGGCATTTTGTCTACCTATCGAGTCCTTACCCAGGACCTGGGATAGGCAGATGGGGATGTTTGATGGTATTACAGATATCGTCGCAGGATGGAAGCAGTTCCTAATAAGGCTGCCTTTTGCAATTGACTAATAGCGAATGTGTCAATGCCAATGGTGTTCAAGTGGTGCTCCAGTTGTTTTGGAATTGCACCCAAGGAGCCTATGACTATTGGTACTACCCTTGCTTGCTTTTGCCACAGTCTTTCTATTTCTATTTGTAGGTCTTTGTATTTTGTTATCTTCTCCAGTTCTTGCTCTTCTATTCTGCTATCTCCAGGCACTGCCACGTCCACTATCCAGACTTTTTTGTCTTTCTTATCGACAATTGTTAAGTCCGGGGTGTTATGTTGCAGGTGCTTGTCTGTTTGAATTCTGAAGTCCCAAAGCAGTTTAATTTTATCATTTTCTATGACTTTCTCTATTTTATGATTCCACCAGTTTTTGCTTACAGGCAAATGATATTTTTTGCAGTTCTTCCAATGCACCATTGTTGCTACTTTGTCATGCCGCTGCTTGTAATCAGTTTGTGCAATCTTCTTGCAACAGCTTACCAAGTGGTCCACTGTTTCTTCAGCTTCTTTGCATAGGCGGCACTTACTGTCTGTTGCTGTCTTCTCAATTTTGACTTTGTATGCATTTGTTGTTATTATTATTATTATTATTATTATTATTATTATTATTATTATTATTACTACTACTACTACTACTACTATAAGTTTATGCAGAAGCCGAATTGCAGGCATCCCTTTAAATTTCA